TCCTCTTCTCTTTTTCTTTTGATCGATGAAAATCGTTGATATCGTTTGAACTTATTTCAAGTTCTTGATGAAGATGAGATTGTTACCTATTTTCTTTTCGTGCGGCATTGCTTTCAGAGAGTGATCTACATATCACTTCTCTAGCATGCATTAGCACTACCATTGTTATTGACCGGCCTTATATAGTTATGGTTTCTACATAAACCCGATTTATGATTGCTTAACATAGCGCTAAATTGTCCCCTAATCGGAAAGTGATCATTCGTGGCTTAAACTTATGTTTGAAAGTCCAAGTATAGTTGATTATTTGTCTTAAGTCCATCACCTATGAAGCTTGTTGTTAGGAGGCTTTGATTTTATCAATCCTCTAATGAGTCTTCATCAACTTTGGCTTAAATTCATGAGTTAACTGTCATTGATTATTTGCAATAACGACTAATCACTAACTCACTAACGATATCATTGTGCTAATTTTGTTTATGTTTCCTTCTTGCTCTCTATCTCACTTTTATCTTTATGCTTCATTATTATCATCTCATATCATATTATTGTTTATACTTCCGTTATTTTTCCTTTGTTCGTTTAACACGTGTTTATGTTTTCGCTCTTTTCTTTTATCCACTTGGACTATATCTTGTTCAAAACACTAATAGAGGATTAAACCTCTAAAAAACTTGATACTCTTAACTTTGTGGCTATGCTCTTGGACTATTCTTAGACCTTGGACTTCTAGGACTTAGAATTAGGACTTTTTCCCTATGCTTGGATTATTATGGATCTTTACCTTTATTTGCCTTGCTTATTGGCTTATGCTTCAAGATGGATGGAATTCTTATTTGGCTTGCGTATTGGCTTATGCTTCAAGATGGATGGAATCCTTATTTGGCTTGCTATGAAGTGTACTACAAGTTGGTTAGATCCTTCTTATCTCTATCTTTTATTTTGCTTTCTAGGGTAGTAACACCATCTTCTCCCCTTCTTAAATTTTCAAAATCTTCTCCCTCTTTTAAAACCTTCTTACTTTCAAACTTCAAAACAACTTTCAAAATAAAACCTTGACTTTTGTCAAGTGATTTTTAAACTTTTTTTTTCTTAATAAATATCAATCAATGTTAATCATATTTTGACCAATTTCAAAAAGATATAAAAAACACTTTATCTCATTCAAACTTTTTGTGCCTTTATGCACTTTTCATTTTAAAACTTTTCATAAAATTTAGACATGAGTCAATTCCATAGTTGAGATATAATTCTCCTATTCTCCATAGTATTAAGATGTTGACATTTTCCACTTAGATGTTGAGTGATAGACTTGTTGATAATCCAAGCAAAATCCTCCATCTTTAGGTGATGCAAATGTTGTCTTATACTTGTGGGTGACTAGTAGTAGTTTTCTCCTTAAAATGACGACTTGTCTTCACATTTAAAAATCAATCAAAACCCACAAATCTTTGTTATTTGTACCACGAACTACGGAATTTTGATCTTATATTGCACTTTGTGGGTACGTAGGCATGAGACGATAAGTCTCTCCAAACACAAAAATCATAAAAAAATAATTTTCTTCTAATCTCCCCAATCTCTTTTCAAACAAACATTTTTCAAACCAAAAAGTATAGATATTTCAAAGGACTCTCATAGAGTACTATAGACGTTTTTTGTTCTAACACCTTCCCATTGCGTAACCAACCCCCTTACCCAGATCTTTGTTTATTTGTTCTTGTCTTATAACTCTTTAGGTTTTGTTCGCTTTTTTTTCCTTTTCTTTTTGGATAAAATAAAAGTGTGGTGGCGACTCTTGCATTTTTGAGTTAAGTTAATCAATAGCTTACACTCGCAAATTTCCCCGCTACACTACCATTCAAGGAAACTTGTATATCCTATATAGAGTTTTTATGTTTAAGAAGAAGATCAATCATTTCATTGATATTTGATGATCAACTTCAAGCACTCCAACAAAATCAGAATTAAGTATTTTGTTCATTACATCTTATTTTCAGGATTGTATTGTAAGGTTGTATTCCTTGTTGTCCAAGATTGTTGGAAGCAAGAGAGTTGAGTTTGAGACGATTGTTCTCATTTCAACTTTGTTGTAAAATCCAAGAGGATTGTTCTTGGTGTAATTGTTAGAGTCTTGTATAGAAAGACTAGGATAGTCTTGTCTTAGGATCTAACATTATTGAAAAATCTCTTTCATGTTGAAAGGGAACTAGAGTACTCTCAGACTGTGAGGGGAACCAGGATATATTGCCGTGTCATTTACTTTCCGCATTTATCTCTTTCATCACTTAGCAATCTCTAAGGAAATTAAAACTTGAAACCTTCGAAATATCCGAAAAAATTTCCAAGTACCTAATGCACCCTCCTCTTAGGTGCATATCTTACTAACAAGCCAAAATGTATGCACTATGTTTCACCTCGCGATAGATATGCTCAAACTTGACCTCTTCAAGGTTATTACCAAAATGCTAGATGTGAAGCAACAAGTTAAAACCAGGCTGAGGCACTCTGTCGACCGCTTGCAGCATAGAAACCACCCTACTGTTGTCAACTTAAATCTGCAGCTTCTTAATACCGCTGAGCTGAGCAAGTTGAAGGCCAGCCAAAACACCCTAAAGCTCGGCTTGAACACTACTATTCTTACCAATATGCTTGTTGAACCCCTTTATTCAAACACCATTGTTATTACGTAAGAGGCCCCCACAATCGGCCGGTCAATCTTGCCTGACAGCCCAATCAACATTCAAACAAAACCAATATCCCTTAAGAGGTCTCCAATGAATCTGAAAAGAGATAGAGGAGAGAAGAATCAAGCCTTGCTTCAAATTACAACATTTCATATACTGCTGCACTTGGTCCGTAATATATTTAGAATTATTGTAAGGTGAGATAAAGTTGGATTTATGGAGCCTTTGGTTCCGCCACATCCAGATCAAATGACACGCAAAGGCCCAAGTCCTCACATCAATTGCCTCCGAGTTCTGAATCGGAGGAGGAATAGCTTTAATTTTAGCCAAGGTATCATTATTAACCAATGCGGACAACAGGTTCCAATTCCAATCCCCGTTAGTATCCACCATAGTGCCCACTTTGACATTATAATCCACCCAGTAATTCTGACCTCGCAGCTTAGAGCTCAACTTCAGGCTTAGCTCGATCCAAGCATTCTCCCACAACCTGATGTCTTTTCCATTCCCCATTTCCTAGTAAGCCATACTCTCCAATTGGGGACACAACTTAACAAGATGTTTTGAAAGGCTCGAATCAGTTGGCTTGGCTCGAATTTGATTTGTTTGGTGCCTATGCGTAAAGTACTTATTTCTCATAACATCACACCACAAAGTTTGAATCCCAATATTCGGCTGCCAAAACTCTACTGTAGCATTGCAAGAAATTCTTCATAGCATTTCTATGAAGAATTTCTTGCACTGCCACAATACTCTCATGAATGTTTCTTTTGGGAATTAAACCAATCTGATTAGGAGTTATCAAACTATCCATGATAGACCTCATCATATTGACAATAACTTTGTTACAGTTTGTAGACAGAGTTACACAGGGAAATAGACCTAAAGTGATTAACCATTTGGGGACTGACAGTTTTTGGAATAAGACAAATTTTTGTATAGTTAATCTCAGTAATGCTAGTTTATTTCATCCGTAAACTCTTGAGGAATCTACACAAACTATCACCTATAACATCCCAAGTGCTTTGGTAGAAACCCGCCAGGAAGCTATCAGGCCCAGGGGACTTCCAAGCTGCCATACTGAAAAGAGCTTGTTTGATCTCTACATTCTGAATGTCCGCCTCTAGAAGTCTTATGTGGTGAATAAGCATGGTAGAGAATCTGTGACGCATATTGCATCAATCAGAGATATCAAGGTCTTTGGTGTAGAGATTGTGGAATTTGGTTTTGAACAACTCTTTTATTTTTTTCCCATCCTTAATCCACCGGCCCTCATCATCCTTAAGCATATTGACCACCTTCTTTTTGCGCCTTTGAACAGCTTTGGTATGATAAAATTTAGTATTTTTATCCCCATCAATCATCCATTGGACCTTGGCCCGTTGAAACTACATAAGTTCTTCCTGGTACAACACTTTGTCAAGATTATTTTGGAGAAGTCGTTCCAGTTTCCTCAACCTTGCATGGTCACCCCCACTTTTAGTTGTGTTTTGAACACCTTTGATTCTCCCCAAGAGCTTAATCTTCTCTTTGTTGATGCGCTTAGGGTTGTGCAACTTCCACTGCTCCGCTATCTCCTTGAAAGACTTCAAGTTACCTCTCAGATTGACCTTATTGTTCCAAGACTCCTTAAGCAGGTTATCGAATGGCTTATCCACCAACCAGGCACTTGCAAACCTAAAGTCTCTATTCCTTCTGCTTAGCTTTTTATCCAGAAGACGAATAAGAATGGGATGGTGATCAGAATAATGAAGCACTTGGACATGAGCCTCACGGAACATGGTTCTCCAAATGTCATTGCTAAGACCACGATCAAGTTTTTCAAAAACTCTCCTGCCTCCCTGAGCAATCAGGCCACGCCAAGTATATTTAAACCTATTGAACTAAGATCCATAAGAGAGCACTCGTTAATTCAATCCTGGCATATACTGCTGTTAAGTTCCAGCAATGCCCATCTGTAATATATAGAAAATTATTTTTTTCTTCAATTCAAAGGTTGATTAGATGCTCCTTCCTATGAATTATGTGAAATAAAGATAACACACCAATTCCAAGGGATGCACAATTGAAGTGCTAAGGCTCTTGCTTCAAGTCCAATATTTCATGCAATGTCCAATCATAAGTTTACTGAGCAGTAATGTCACTGTTTCATTAATCTATTTGTACTAGAATGTTTATTGTATATACACACGTTCATGCAGAGAAAGAAATAATAATAACACAAAATCACTTTTCTCCTATTTCTTTCTTACATAAGCTGGTAATGAAAATCACTCATTCTGATTCTAATGTTGTAACCTTGCCTATCATGATTCAGGCTAATGAGCCATTTTCAACAAACTTATCAATCTGAGCTATGTCTAAAAATGTGTCAACTCCACTTGCTTTCAGAAAACTGCAATGATATTGAACAAAAGAATAAATCAGCTAATCAACCAAATCATGACTCTAATAAACCATTGACAACAATGTGACATACTCATCTCTTAAAGCTCTTGCCATAGACAAACACCCTCCTTGGACAGATGATTGCAGGTTCACAGCAATGTTTGGATTGTGAATACTTTGTCTCATGTGTATCCAACCATGTTGTCCATGTTCATTGTTTGATACTCTTGCCCTTCATTTGCCATAATAAAGTTAGTTTTAATCTCTGTAACATCAGACACATTTTAAAAAAGACGTGTCTATGTACAACATTTGTGATTACGTTCAATTTATTTACTTTTTAAAATTAATATCAGTGTCGACGTGTCAGTGTTGGTGTCGTGTCTAGTGTCTAGTTTTAATTAACAAACATAGAAATATAAAATCAAATTTTTTGAAGTTCTAGAATTTTGTTTAGTAGCTTGCTATGCTATTCACCTGTACATTTGAGCATCAATGTGAGTTGGAGTGTCATTTGTATCAACAAGGCACCCTTCACTCACCCAACAATCACCACATGAATCTAACTCCCATCCTTTAAGCATTCCTTCCTCGATGTAGTTTCGAAATGTTTCGATCGCCTCGAGACCTTTTGCTTTAGCGTCTCGAGGTTCAGAAACGATATTTATTCTCAATTCAATTGATTCATAGGGCTCTTCAAGATCTTTTATAAGACTACCAATCCCTTCATCTGATCCACCAAGCTTCATTCTCACCATTTCGATTATAATTTTCACCACCATGTAAGCCCCTTGGTTATATAAACACAGAAACATTATCGACGGAATGATCTATAAAAAATTCAACATTCAAAAACATGCGTGAACATGAATTCTAACTAACTAACTAACTAACCGTCGTCAAGGAAATGGTTTTCTTTCAATGCACCGTGACCGGATGTTTCTATCATAAGGTGTGTTTCAATTCCGTCTTTATTAAGATGAACTCCTTTGTCGATGACATTTCGGTAACCAACGCGATACAAACAATGGTGACCGCCTCTATCGGTTATAAACTTAGTGAGCGACATACTCGTCCGAGCATCAGTCACTATGGTTGATCCTGGATTTTCTTTCAGTACAATGGCAGACATGAGAGCAATGAGCTTGTCCCCATTTATCGGGTTCCCTTCGTTATCAACTACGCCGCTTCTGTCAACATCGGTATCAAAGACTATTCCAAGATCGGCCGAGTTTTCTAAAACAGCCGCTCTTGTCGTCGCCATGGCAACTTTGTCCTCGGGGTTGGGAATATGATTAGGAAACATGCCATCAGGTTTAAGATGCAGAGATCCAAAGGTATCTGCACCAAGCTTGTCTAAGACATCCCATGTGAAGAATCCTCCTGAGCCGTTTCCAGCATTCACTATTATCTGATTCGGATTCGGACTTTTAAACAACAGTCATGAATGTTGCAGTTGTAATAACTTAATATAGTAAATACGAATAAGAAAATTGCGAGTTAGAAGACACTAAAGCGATGAATTTGTAACAATCAAACGATAACTATGTTGATGAACTACTCAAACCTGGAATCCCTTGAGTGGAGTTTCATAATGCAATGGATGACTTATTCTCTCCTTGATGATTTCTCTAAGATGCTTTGAATAAGCACTCATGAAATCAACTTTTATTGGAAGAACTTTAAGCAGAGAAGAAACTTTCGCCATTCTGTTTGCGTATTTACGAGCAGCATTGTCACAGATTTCTTCTACTTCCAATGAAGTCAGCCCTCCTCTCTTTGTAAAAAATTTCAGGCCATTACGCGTGTAAGGCAAATGAGACGCTGTCATCTGTTAGATTAAACAACTTCATTAAACGATTATCAAATAAGTGCTTATGTAAAATCGTTCAAAGCATTATGTAACCAACCATTATGGAAGCGTCGTACTCGAATGGAGGCAACAAAGTGCTCATAAAACAAGCTGGCGTGGTAGCTAGTCCCATATCGAACACCATACAACCACCGCGAGTAAGACCTGCAAACACTGCAACGCTCAATTTCGACCCAGTAATTCGCGGGTCGCGTCCAAGAGACACACTCACATTCTCTACCAAATATCCTTTTTCCTTCTCTAAACCATTGACAACCCATTCGCCAAAACTCTCTGATATCGCCTCCACAGCAGGCGGAGTAAGGTCAACTGTTCTTCCTTTCTCGCCTTCCAGCGCGACTCCTCTAACATCCGAACCATTCTGAAGTCTCCGAATCTTGTCCAGCTCTTCATCCACCACCACTCCATCATACTTAGCAGTTCCATATGATTTCAAACTTATAACAGATTTATTGAATTGCACAAAAGATGAGAAGCCAAGTTTGTTATGCAAAGATAAAGAATGATAGTTTGTTTTCTTTGCATTTCTGTGCAAAGATATCGACAAGTTTGGTGAAGTAGAAGCAGCCATTGTTTACTTTGTTTGCCGCTCTCGCTTTATTCGAATAAAAACCAAGTTTTAAGAGATAAGGTGAGTGTAGAAACATTAAACCATAACCTTACGAATCCAATATCTCAGGAACACAAATAAATATCTCAAGATTTTTCTTGCTTCTTTGTCTATACATGTCAATTATTGTCATAAGTTTCATGAGATATTTTTACGGCAAAATGAGAACCTGGTATATTCTAAAACATGACAAAAAACTTATAGCAATTTTGTCATGATACATAAACTCATTGGATTGATTAAACATAAATTACATATCAAACTTCTTGAGACAAAAATAATAAGCTACGTAGCATTATAAGAACACCTATAACTCAACCTCAGATAAACCTTTGGAATCTGTAACATCAATCCATTCAATTTCGACGAATATTTCACCCGACTTAACATTTCTCAACCTCAAACTCATTTCTTGAACGAGTTTTCCGTTTCTCCATATGCATCTACTCTCTTCGGCCAAACAGTTAGTCCTATCTGGTTGAACCATCTTGACAACGTGTCCTTCCGGGACATCGGTAAGCCCCATCTTCACACAATGAAGATACGGCTTAATGTCAATGTCTGCTTCGCCCATTTTGTCGTCCGCACTGAACGTGTCTTTGTCACAAGCGGTCTGACAAAAAAAACATCGCGAGCACGATTAAAACATTATTGATTAGATAATATTTATCGAGCTTGAATACTCACAAGTTGTATTGGTGTGTTTGTGTGAAGATCTTTATCTTGAATATAAAGTGTCAATTCTTCATTCCATTCTGGATGACAGTTATCTTTGACAACAGCAGTTTTCAGTGTCTGTATGAAATGAAATTAGAAACCAAAATGAATAAATCTGAAAGCAAAAGAAAGAACAAGATTTAGTTATGAAACATAACCTGTTGAGCCATGGTGACAAGAACATAAGGGTCACTGGTACGAGAATCACGAGGTATGAGATTAGTGCCTTTTTTTATACGAATTCTGATAAGGCCTAGAATGTTGTCCATTAAAACCAAAACTAGTTTTGCAGAAAATCACAAATGTTACTTCTACTTCTCTTGTTGTGTCAAATATGAATTTTTGGCAGCATTGACTTTCGTGGATGAACGCTGTTCTCTCCTACTACATAGGTTCCCACCACACTTGCAGGATCTCAAATAAAATATCCTACAAATTTCGGTTTTTTTTTATCAATTTGAATTTTACCTATACAATTATTTTTACTTTTAATTAAAAACAACAAAAACAAAATCCAACTAATTATTTGCTACTTAGTACAAATTCGAAGAATTAACCTCTCAATCCCACCTATATCAACTATTTCTCATTTATAGCGAAATTTCATTTTCGTCCATCTTATTATACCAGGAATTTTGTAAAAATTAATGTATCCGGACTTAGAGATAACACACATATCTGAAATTTCAACTTTTTCGGTATTATCTATCAGAGATTTCAAAATTTTCGGTGCAGATATACCAGATATATAGGAGTTACGAAAATTGAAGATATTTCTCGAGAATTTTAAATTTTAAGAATACCGGAAATTTCATAATAGTTGAAATTTTCGGTATGTGCCAAGAGTTACAAAAAAAAAAAGATAATTTTAATAGTTTGGCCACATCTTCCTGCATAAAAGATTTCACATATAATATATACATAATATCCACAAGATTATATAGAAAATTAAGATGACTTCTTAGGTTCCTCCTCTCAGTGTCTAATTCGTCATGCATATGCCGATTCTCATGCTTTTGCTTCTTCAGTACAATTATTCTCCAACAGTCAGTGATGGGTGACAATGGACTATCAAGTTTTAATTTTACCTGAACTCAATGATTGTCGTTGACAAAATCAGCAGCTATGATTTTATGTCTGCTCGTATACATAGGTGAAGTTATGGTAAGAGGGAAAAGGGTAATGTTAAGTCTATGTGACAATGAGATAAAGATGACAATATACCTACTCGCAATAGGGTAATCCATATCAGGAATTGACATCTATTTCTCTCTACCATGCACACTCAAGTGTTCTACTATTAAAGAATTCCTAACTTCAGCAACCGTGTCATATAACAATTTTGAAAATAATTTTAGGTGTTGATGAACTTGAGTATCCAACTGCGTCTGAACCAACGACCATTAACTCTTCGCCCCATCCAAGTAAAGTTGCAATAGCCCGAAAACCACAACTCACATCGTCACCCACATCAACGATGTCATCAACGTATGGATGCAAGAAAACAGGAAACTGAGATTAGTAAAAATGCCCAGAAGATACATTGGACGATTGACTTTGACCTGGCATACTTGAAGGTTGACATTCTGTTGGGTTTGTGTCTGATCTCTTTGTAGTCTAACTCTCCTGCGAGCCCTCACAATACTCCCACTGCGAGGGATCATGATGCACATCACTCTCTTCACCCTTTCTGCTTTTCTTAACACCCTTTTTTGTCTTGTACTTGTTCGCTGTGTTTTCTGGCGAACAACCTCTGGTTAACCAATTTCTTCAGAAAGTTGGGTTACTTGCAGGACCAACCATACAAGTCCTAGGATACATGTGCATTTGGTTCTGTCGAAATACTCTTAGACTTTTGGTGACTAATTTGCGGTTTGTTTTATCAATATTGTCAAAGTATTAAGGACTTTGATTTTGCAAATGACGAAAGTTTGAACTTAAAGGTGAAATAAGGTTAAAAGTTTAAACAAGAACAAAGAAATGTCGGAAGGCTAAAAACTTGCAGAAAAGTAAATGAAATGTAAAATGACATGAACTTGAAGAATAAACAAGTAATGAACTTGAAGAATAAACAAGTAATGAACTTGAAGAATAAACAAGTAATTTAAAATGACTTTGAAATATAACTGGTGTTTAAACGTACATTGTTCCAAATACTAGACTCATTTTCTCTCACACTGGGTACTTAGAGCTTTTACAGGAATTTTGTACAAATTTTCACACACACATTCTAACCACAAACTATCCTATTTATACATAAACAAAATAACTGCTTAGAACGGAAAAACTATAACTAAACGACAAGTGTCAGCCTGCATGTAAATTTCTTCTCTGAAACCTCCATGTGTCCAACTGCCAAAGGTTACAACCTTTGAATTTGAATCTCTTCCTTGGTGACGAAACCTTGTAACTCTTCAAAACTGTCGAAACCCTTTTAAAGGAGAAAAACTCTTCAGCACTTGCCAAACCTTATCTTTTATTAACAAACTTCTTCTGTCGAAGCCCTCAGTCACACACTCTCCAAACTATTCTGCCAGAACATTATATCTATTTCTGTCGAAACAATGAAACTTTAAAACCTTGTCAGTAATTCTTGGATTCTCCTCCTGATGCTATCCTTCGACAAAGATGACCTTAAAGCCTGAATTTTAATCTTGTCGAAATTATGGTCTTGTCGAAATTATGGGTTTACAAATTGCCCCCCAGCAAAAGATATTTTCGACTGTCAAAGGAGAAATGTCTTTTGCTGTCGAAGTGATCTTTGACTTCCAGTTGCATTTAGCTTTGTTTTCATTGATTTCAATCCCCTTTTTGTGGACCACAAAGCCTAAGAAATCCCCAGCCTTGTTGTACGGATGAATTTGCATTTTAGGAGTCTTTCGACCTCTTCTTTGATCTTCGACAGAATTTCAGGTGCAAAGCGTCTGGGGGTCTGTTTTATTGGCTTCTTCCCTTCCAGAATTGGCAACTTCAATTCCACCAAACTTCTGTCTAAACCAGGCATTTCGTCATAATCCCATGCGAAGCAGTCTTTAAACTCATTCAGCAGCTGGATTATTTCGATCCTGAGTTGAGGATTCAACTTGGCACTGATGTAAGTGGGCCTTTTCTCTGCCCCCAGTCCTAGATTAATCTCCTCTAAGGGATCCTGTGCCACCATTTTCATATTGGTGGAGGTTGGATCCTTTTCGAACCCCAAAGGTTCGTCATCATAAATGGCATCAAGTCTTTGGTTCTGCCATTCACCATTTGAGTCTTCTTCAAAACTCTGATTTGCATGTTGCTCCTCAATATTTTCTTGAGGGTGTTGTCCTTCGACAACCTGAGTGCTGGCTTCGACAGCCATATTTCTTACTTCAGCCTCAAGGGCCGCTTTGTGTTGTTTTTCGGCTATATAAGCCGAAATCCTTTCCATTGCTGAAACTTCAGTCATTTTCACTGAATTCACTTCCCCATCCAGTTGGGTTGACATGGGCAGTTCCCCAAGTGTAATTTGTTTCCCCAATTATTTCTTTATCCCACTGGAAACCATGTGTAGGATGGAGGTACATGGAACAGTAAGCGTTGTCGGAAGCTGCCAGATCGAAAGCCGCAGGATTGCATGGTGCTATATGGGCTAGGTTCTTGTCGAAGTTACGACTAGTGATATTGTTCACATCAGCTGTGAAGTAACTCTGATCTGCTTCAATGTTTTCGACAATCCCATCTGGCCTCCAGATTGCTATTCTTTGATGCATGGAGGATGGCACAGCCCCAATCCCATGGATCCATTCTCTTCCCAACAGCAAGTTGTAATTTGCTTTTGATGCTATCACCACAAACATTGTAGGCCTGGTGATGGATCCTACAGTCAAGTTCAATTGTATTACCCCCAGTGTTGTTCCCACTTTACCTTCATAGTTGGACAACACCATATTGTGAGGCTTAGTGTCGGAGTCATCTTTTCCAATTCTCCTTATCATGTAATGAGGAATTAAATTTACAGCTGCTCCGCCATCTATCAGAATTTTGTTGACACCTACACCCTCTACCTTTCCTTTTATGAAGAGAGGCTTTAAGTGAGCCTTCATTGCATCATCTGGCTTTTCGAAGAAGGCATTTTGCTCTTCGACACAGCCATTGTTCATTATGTAGTAGCATACAGGCTTCAAGCTTATGCTATCATCTATCATGTCATCCTCTTCGTCTTCGACTTCCATTATCCTGTCGAAGTCTCTGGGCAGTACAGAAACCACATTGCAAGTTACGTCGAAAGAAGCATCTGATTCTGAACCAAATTCATCTGTGACTTCTTCGTCCACTGGCATCCTATTGTTTGTTTTCTGCACCTCTGTGGTGTCACCAGATCTATTCTTCTGAATGATTTCTTTTTCTGCCAGGGGCATTCCCTTGTTCGTAATCTGCACACATTTGCTTGATTCAGCTTCCTTCTGCCCAACCTTTTGGTATTCTACAGTTTTCTTTTCAATTTTCTTCTGCCTTTGGAATCTTCTCCATTGGGATCTGGACATAGGATTCTTCCCTTTGTAGTTTTCAGAGACGTATTTTGGCTTTGCCTCCCTTTTAACTTCCATGGAAGGACCCCTGTTCACTTCAAAACTCTTCCATCTCTTCTGACCTTGGACATCCCTTATAGGCTGAACCCATTTGTCATCATTTGGCCTGTTGGATGGTTTGTAAGTGTTGAAACGTCTTTCTCCGACCCCTTGACTGTGATGCTCCCCTCTTCTTGGGTCGAATCTTTCGTTTCTGGTTGGTGGGACTGTTCCCCAATTTCTTTTCCTCTGGGTCTTTACTGCTGCTTCTAAGTCATCAGCTGCTTTCTTGTCGAACACAGCACTGCATCTTGGGCAAAGCATGACTTCTGCATTCTTCCTTTGACACCTCTGGATGAATTCAACCAGACTCTCGTTCTCTTCTGGGTAAACCAGCTTCTGATGCTCCTCTTGACGCTTCTTTCCCTTGTCGATGTCTGGTCCTCCCTTTTGAGTGATTTCCACCATATGAATCCCAGCACTCTGTTCAGTTGTAATTTTCAATTTGTTCATTTTTTCGACTAGCATGATTTCCTCTGGGATGTCCTCCTTTGACTGACTAACATTGCCTTTTGGGTGTAAGCCCTTATAGATGTATTTGCAGCAATGTGCAACCCTTTCGACAGGATGTTCTTCATTTTTGGTGGTATCACTGTTCATTTGTTTGACAGTGAGGGAATTGTCATCAGTCCCTGGTGTTTTAATCTCCTCTTGGTCAGCATCTCTTTCACAGT